CTAACTGCAATCTAATTAGGACAGTTAGTGCTGCTCTTTTCCGAGTAATGGGTAGCAGAATCAGCCTACCAGTGACTGCTATAATTAAGTTTCCTTTAACAAAATGACAGTTCTAAATGGTATAAAAGACGAACGGTTCCCTTCACACCCCATCTCCGCACTATCCTTTTCCCCATATATCTCTAAGAAAACTTACTGAACGCTTCCTCCCCCCCCCTCCAAGCCTCGTAGCTAAGTAAAAAGAGCAGCTCCTGGAAAGCCTCCCTATTTCCTTTCCTGATGGAGTTGGCGCCCCTCTGGAGGCCGGCATAATATCCGAAAGGGAGGGAAGAGTGGCGGAGCACCACTACAATCTAGAATTTTTGCTCTTGCAACTATATTGATATGCAAACTGGCCACTTGAGATGTAGCAGCGTAAAGTGGATTTCCTCTTAAGATAGTTCTCTTGGTCTTTTGGAAAGTTTGGTCATGCATTTAACTGTAAACTATAGGTACAGGTACAAGCAGTGTTAAAACTGACCGATGCAAACTAGAAAAATACGCTTATTGTGACGGCGTATTTATACTCTTCCTTTATCTGAATGTTTATCTATTCTCTATGGGAAAATCTGGAAGGTTTTCATTTTTAATCCGTAGAGAGTTCCGAAATTTGATTACAAGTTTGATTACAACTTTCTTATAAATAAATCGCATAGTTTTAACTTTAAAAGATTTAAATTATATTAATCCAAAATACCTTAGCTTTTAATAATCTCGAATTGTCTTTTCTTTTATGTTACGGATTATTCAATACGACTTGAGGACAGGAATACATTAGTTCATCTTATTTTAACCCACATCTCTGCATAGTATTAGTGGTCTGATAGGCATTTTGTGGTGAAATTTTGTCGCGCTCAAACGTTCTCATTGGTATTCCTATAAAGTTTTATTATTCATGCAATATGTTGAAATGTTTCCTATCCTATTTTTCAGTGAGAACTGTTTGCGGTCTTTGTTTCAGTAGCGGCTAATCTCTTGTTGTTTATTTGTGCTTATTTTTATATAAAAATGATTTTCGATATTATAATTATTACTTATTGATTATACTTGCTTGATAATTACATTAAACCAAAGATGACATTAAATTGTAGAAGGTTGACACACGAAATTGCCCAGCGTAAAGTTTTACTCTCATGAATAGCTCCTAAGGGATCTAGGTTAGGTGGAGTCATGAGGAGTGTTGGGCAACGCGGGAGACTGTGTCCTCCGTCAGGAAGCTCTTAGGGCGGAGATGGCTCGCCAGCCCTACGCAGCCTGCCCCAGCCATTCATTGGGCCGAGGGCAATTTATTAAACTTGCCCCCCGGGCATTCTTAACCCGTGCTAACTTGTCGTTCTGGAGGAGGGATCGTGGGGCAGGAGACGACGAATGGGAAGCGCCGGGATGGAATAGTAAAACCCAGCCGCCAGCACCCGCTGTTAAATGTTCCTCGGCTGGTGCAGCCAAGCCAAGAAACTGCTAGTTTGGAACACAGCTGCTCAAACAAAAAGGTGGATTAAATTCCACGAGACTGGAAGGAAGGACAGGAAGGAAATTCTGCAAGGGTGGAAAAATAATGAAGTTTTCTTAATTGCGAAGCGGTGCTTTGGCGAGTTGTTTACAGTTTGTGGACCTGGCCTCACCAGAGAGTTAAATATGAAAGTTGATAAAACTGTAGCAGTGCCAGGGATCAAACGTAGAATATTTGTCTTAGAACGTGGTGGGAATGTTTAGTAGAATATCTTAGAATTGAATGTAGGGCGTTTCTACCAATGGAACGTCCTGCAGTATTACTTAATGACCTTTATCCATACCAAACCTGACCTGACCGTCACTAGACCTAGCCAGACTAACATAACCTAATGTAATCTAAGTACCTAACATCCAGACCTGCCCTAATCGTCCGCAGGCACACTCGCCCGTCTATTCGTAGAATTATGCATTCGTGGATTTATCCAAAGTATTTTCAAAGCTCTTGAAAGTACTTGCTTCGATGACAATACTTACCCGGTTGTAATATATATTTAGTTAAACTAAATCCTATCCATAGGCCTTACATTATTTCAACAATAACCTGTGACTTTGTAAATGGTCCAAGTCGGACCGAAACGTCGTCGTAAGCTTCTCTCTTCTATGTGCGGGCTATTTGTGTATGGTTCCAGTCACGGTATTGTGCTTTTTTTTTTTTTGTTATTTATGCACTTGGGAACCTTAAGACGACGTTTCACTCAGTCCTGGACCCGTGTCAGTAGTCCAGGACGGAGCGAAAAGTAATCATAGAGTTTCCTCTCTTCAGTATAACTTTTTGGTGAATTGTTCCAGTCACGGGATCGAAAAGCAGATTAAGTAATGCCAGAAAATAGAAGAAAAACGTGGAAGCAGGAATGAAATTGAAAAACGAACACTTGATCTTATAAACGGATAGAACTGGGAAAATATGAGATCCAGAAATATCGGAACTGCAATAGCAAGGCGAAAAATGGGACAGCTAGTGCCGTGCCAACTGACTATATTGTCGGCTCTGTCGCTGACACAAGGAGACGCCAAGCTGACACTTAACACACGTCTGGCAAATTTTATGACGTTCGGTAAAACACAGGAAACTGTGTTTTATATATTGAGAAATCTTAGGATTTTTAATATTAGCTGTAATTATTGTTCAATGGAATAAATGTAGATTGATAAAACATTCAGCACGGCACAAAAATGAGTGTTAATATTTAAAACCATAAAGATCGTAGGTGTGCAGAAAATTCGGTTTCGATAGGTAATCATATAACCAAAGTGACGGAATAAGGCAGGAAGCCTCATTCTAACAAGTCACGTTAAATTCATTTGCAACTTAAAACAAAACTTGTTTAATTGGGCACTTTACTTCTTTCCATTGGTGATTATTTGAGCCTAAATAGTTGAGATTGTTCCCTGCGAAAGGTTTGTGTGCGGTTGTTTAATCGTGGCTGCTTCTGGTTGGGTCACTGTGACGCCAGAGTGTCTGGCTCCCATCAGTCAGTCTCGGTAGCTGCCACAAGTTCTAACGTTTTGAAATGTTGCTTCTCGGATGCAGTTAATAGAAATGGAAAGAAACACATTTTAAATATTTTTATTTGTATCGTCTTCATTCATTTTTTTTTTTTTTTTACAATAGTTCAGGGCAATTCTTCTTTTGAATAAAATACTGTTAACTGAAAATGTCAGAACCAGAAAGTGTCTTTTTGTTAAAAGAAAGTTGAAGAGGAGGGTTGGAGAAAGAAGAGGCAGCGGCGGCGAGTGTTATTTACGCAGTGTTGGGGCTGGAGATCCAATTCTTATAATGGATATTGAATTCCTTCGTGTGTGGCTCGTGCCTCGGTAAACTAGGATTGTTTGGTGGGAGGGAGGGCAGGCTGGGGGGAAGTACACTATTTGAGGGATCTTCCACCGCCTCCCTTAAGAGCGTTTATAACTGACAACTTGTGATGAAGGTCTGATTTTCTGAGTGGGAAGGGGAGGGGGATTGTTTTCTGACCAGGAAACTGTCTTTTGATTTTTCATACAGGTACTTTTTCTGTACATAAAATAGATTTGAGGTAATGGCACATAATCTGCAAGCATTCTAGCAACTATCAGTAACAAATTTTTATACGCTCACAAAACAGCATATTATGTATGAATGTTTTTTTTAATTTGTGTTTGTTTGCCTTTCATGGGGATGGGGGGTGGGGGTGCCTTGATGCTGACGAAGGACTCTTCATCCAAGGAGTTGGGGGTTAACTTTTTCTTTGCCTCAGATTTGATTACCTATTCCCCAGATGTATGCTTTCTGAGGGCTTATCGCTGCCAAGATTACGATGATTGATGCTAATTGTAATAATAACAGTGCAATGTCAACTCTGGTGTATGCCATAAATTTTAACATTAAATTGATTCAAAGTTTTAATACAAATAGTAATAATAATGGTAACAGAAAAGTATAAGGAAGCCTGATGATTTGTGGTGATATTTAGGTTTACATATATAACATTTTAGGTATAATTGATCAAACGAAACCTGTCCCAGTAATGTGTATTTTGGGAAAAATCTTATGCCTTGATGTATTTTTTGTGAATTAACATTAAATTTTCATTACATAAACTGAGCAAACTAACCTAACCTTGCTGAGATTACCATAATCTAATTGGCCTTATTTAACGCCAGCTAAATATATGCATTAATAACACATTTACCGCTTTTATAAAATTGGTGACGCAGTTACCTCCTGTTACTATATGCTTAAAAGAGTACCTAGTGCTCTTGTTATTACGATTTGGTGATTTTTTAAGAATTTGTTTTCCCCGTTTATTTAATTGCTGTTGGACTTTGACATTGCTGTCATTGTTGTTGGTATAAAACAGAAGGGAAACGGGATTCACGGAGTATACTCGTGGACGTCCTTAAAAACTTTAAGAAACGAAAATAAAAGTGAGTGTGGGAGGCAGCGGGCTCTTCCCGCCGGCCTTTGATAGGTTGACAGCAATGTACCCAAGTTATAGTCCAACTTTTCCTTTGTTTGCTCCGTGACTATTTTGGCCATAGCTGGAAAACACCAGCAATGCTGTGAAGATCGGGACTTTCAATGTATTTGTTCTTAATTCAATTGTAGTCCAAAGAAAAAAGTGAGGGGGGGGGGAAGTACGAAAATCACTCTTACTACTTAGGCGCACATAAAATTGTTTTGCTAGTAAAGTGTCTTCTAGAAATTTCCTTTCTTCTTCAAGAGTGTTAAAAGTTTGAAATCTATTTACCGAGCTATAGCTGCGAGACAGGAATGAGAGAAAATTTGAGTTATTGCTGGAAAAGAGTGCCTCTAGACAAAATTTGCACCACTCGGGAAATATGTCGATGTATCAGTATTATGGAAGAGCGTAAGCCAGGTGGCGTGTCTTCCTTGTTGTTGGCTAATTTACATTTGTGTGCCAGGTAAAGTTTGGGAAGGTGGCACTAACTCTTACTTCTTATTCTTACAGAAACATCGTCTACAATATCAGTGTCCACAACTTGGAAGAGAACTTCAGTCAAGTAAGTTATGATTTGTGCTTATACAACATAGTTGTACACGCAGGTTTCTTGTGTAGTTACATGGGTTCAAAGATACTTGGTTAGTCAATAGGCTCTCTTGGCTATCCAGATAGTAAGTTTTAACCATCTCGTCTATCGATAAACGCATAGATTTCAACCTAAAAAAAATAGTCATTGTTCCGAGATATATTTTTGTATTGATATTGTTTGATTAGTAAATATTAAATATATAGCTTTTATATATTAGTGTATTTTATGTTACGATTAATAAATTTAATTGTAAACAAATTGGGTCACTGGAACTCGGAGCTTGTCTAATAAAAAAAAAACTTGTACACGTTTACGCTAATTAAATTAAAAGTGAAACTGTCCATATTTTCCAGTTTCTTTTTTTTTAAGACTACTGAAATGTCTCGGACACTTACCCAAATCCCCAATAGCATTATTCCCGTGGTGTTGGCATACCATTACTGAGGTCTCCTAAATCCCACCGATATAGCAAATCCGGGGGTGAGCCTGGTGGTATCGGCAGGCGGGTCCATTTCATTATTCTGGAGGCGTGATAGAGCCTTCTTGATGGCGCGTCACACCCGAGGCAGCCTATCACAATCCTCTCTCCTTCCGCAGAGCCCTGGCATCTTTAGTAGGATTATCATGCGGAAAATGTCATGTAATTATGTGATTTATAATAGTTGCTCTGAAAAAAAAACACTTAATGGAGTATGAATTACATAGATTAAGGTGGAATCTGCGGTGATGAGTTTCATAATCTCCCCAGCATGAGGTTACATAAAGTAGGTATACAAGAGGGAGGGGTATCTGGGGTTTAAAGTAAAACTTTGTGCTCATGGGTACTTAAGTAGGGTAGGTGGGTTATTTTCAGGGCAGAAACCTTGACTTTACTCCAGTGAAAAAGACAAATGCGCTATAATGCGATATTTGCTCAGTTTCGCCCCACACTATGGGCTTTATTAAGTCTCAGACAGATCTGTTTGAGACTTTATGAAGCCCACTGTGGGCGAAACGTTGTCAGTCAAGGGTCTCGTCATACTGCATTTCTCTTTTTCCATCGTGTCGATATTTTATACCATTCATCTGTCAGTTTACTGCAACAGCGTCTGTTGAGTATTATTGTGGAGTCTCTTATGCTGCCAGTGGTGAGCAGAATAAAAAATACATAAACTGGCAGTATAAAATGGGGATTAAAGTATACTTGACGGCTAGAAACAAGGTAGATTTATGCTTTAATGGTCCTGATAGCAAATAGGCCTTGACATACACACAGGCAGGCCCCGCTTAACAGAGCTTCGCTAATACAGACTCCTGATTTTTCAGTTATACCTATTCTTCATTTATTCAGACTTCTACAGTAAATATATTCACCATTCACTATAAGCTAAGAATGAAAATATTTTAAGGCAAGTAATATGTGTACTGTATGCACTTTGTAGGCCTAGCTGTATTGCTCACTTAATGTGTAGACATGTTATCAGCCTTTATATGCATTTGAAGGTGAATAATGGCTGTGATTCACTGTACAGCCATTTTCGCTGTATAGTAGCCCGGAACCTAACCTGCTGTATAAGCGGGGCCCTTCTGTACTCGAATTTCATATAGCCCGGAACCTAACCTGCTGTATAAGCGGGGCCCTTCTGTACTCGAAGTTCATAAAAGTAAAAACAATACTTATGAAGTATGGATTGTAATTAAAATACGACGCGTTGCAAAAGTTAGTGTTAAAATAAACTGTAGCAAAAATAAAAAGTTTTTGCATTTAACAGAAAAGTAAAGATCCCAAACTATTGATCAAATGTTGAAAAAATGCCTGGAAAAAATGTACAAAGAATCCCTGGAACTCCAGGTAACAGGCCTAGAAAAGCAAAACAGGCAAACTAAACTACGAAGATAATTGGAAACCATGAAGAATCTCTTATATCTCAGGCTAGGAACATTGTCAGGGCATTAATAAAATCACATTGAAGCAACACTGGATCCTCCATAACGTCCCTGGGAATCTGGGTTAGAATGCCGTGGTGGGAATCATTGAGCAGTCTGCCCTTCGGGGAGGTGATGGGGCTGGTCACAACATCCTCGGGACAGGAGGGGCCCAGGGCTTGCCTGGTGTCATGCTCTTAACTGGACACGTGATATATGGCTTCCTCCTGAACCATGAGGGCCGTCACATAATTTTGCATGACGAGTTTATTCGCAGTTAGTGATGGTTTGTGCCTTCCTGCTATGGTGTGTATGGTTGGAGATAATGGTTGCATGTATGTAAGGTGTGGGTATGATTTTCTCTCTCTCTCCCCTCTCCCCCCTCTATCCCCCTCTCTCCCCCCCCTCTATCCCCCTCTCTCCCCCCCCCTCTCCCCCTCCCCCTCTCTCCCCCTCCTCCCTCCCCCTCCCCCCCTCCCCCCCTCTCTCCCCCTCCCTCCCCCCTCTCTCCCCCCTCTTTCTCCCCTCTTTCTCCCCCTCTTTCTCCCCCTCTCTCCCCCCCTCTCCCCCCTCTCTCCCCCCACTCTCCCCCCACTCTCCCCCCTATCCCTCTCCCCCTCTCCCCCTCCCCCTCTCTCCCCCCTCTTCCCCCTCTCTCCCTCTCTTCCCCCTTCCCCTCTCCCCCCTCTCCCCCCTCTCTCCCTCTTTCTCCCTCTTTCTCCCTCTCTCTCATTACACAGGGTTTGGGATCCCTAGCTTTATTGACAAGCTGTTTACAGGTTAAGGATTCCTAACTTTATTGGCAAGCTAAGAGCTGTTACCTACATCAGCTCATTTGAAAGCATTTTTATTGTTATGAGACATACAAGTAGGGAACAGGATGAAGTTGGAGCCATCTGTGGGCTCTCTCCCTCTTTCTCACTCCCTCTCTCCCTCTGTATTCCATTTCACTTTCCTTCTCTTCCTCTTTCTCTGACCCCTCCTCTTTTACCCCTACCATTCTTCCCCCTCTTTTTTTTCTCTGATCCTTCCTCTCTTACTTCTCTCAATTCTTCCCCACTATATTCTTCCCCCTCTCCATTCTTCCCCGTCTTGTCTGGTTCGCGTTCTAGGTAGGGGCTGCGGAAACAAGACAGTGTTTTGACCTAAATATTAAAGATTGGATATTATTGCCAATACAAGTTAGCTTTTAATTTCCACAAATTACTCTCACTTCCGTTATTAAAGTATAATCTTCATAATTTAGTGGACAAGTAAAAGTTTAATAATCCGCCCCCAGTCTTGTCCAGGTTTTTTCCTACACTAAGGCGGTTATGTAGTTTTTCTTATATAATATTTTCTTTAAACTATTTGTTGTTCCTTCATGGGTGCTTAATCAAAGGAATTGGAGCTTCCCTCCCCTGACCTAACTTGATTATCTCTCATTCTCCACGTTCTCGAAGTCTCGTATGGATTTAGCGCTTCCCCACGAATATAATAATGCGAGGCTGTAAGAAGAAATGTATGATTTAACAGTAATAGGAATGATATTGATAGACATGAGTAGGTAGTTAATATATTACACACGCCAACAGACTTCCCCCTATCCCAAAATAAAACCATGAGATACATTTCTGCGCAAGTTCATTGATAACATAGGTACATTAAACTAGGTTTTACATAAATTTTAGTCAAGTTGGGTTCACATTCGCAAATACATACTTGGGAAAGTTTAGACGAGATTTCGGTCCATCCTAGGCCATATCAAAACAGCTGAGCGAGGGAAAAAGCAGAGAAGACTTGAAGTCAGATTCAGGAGGGGTAAGAAGATAGATAGTACTAGAGGGAGGGGTGTGATATCAAAAATCTTGCCGATATTCAGTTTTAGGCAGATATCGATGCCATCTAAATTAGCCGATTCCTACCGATACCTTGAGAAACACTTTGAGCACGCGCTAACAAAATGGAAATTTCAAATTCGTGGAAATTAATGATAGATTTGAAGAAAGAGGAAAGCAAGGGCACTTCTGAACAGAAGCTGCATAGTAAGAAAGGTAGCGAGTGTATGTACATTTCACTGTGCCTAGGCATGAGTAGACGAAGAAAAAAACGCCAGTGATAATGCGGTGGACATAAAACATGAGAGGAAACAAGTAAGCATGATTCCTATCCAGCTTTGGAATTTATATACTGGGCAAGTTTGAGGGCATGAAGGAAGAGTTGGTAGCCTAGTGTAAGAACCAGAGAGCAAATGCGTCATCTCTTGGGTTAATTTTGCTGTGAAATAAACACCTGGCATATCCTACACCTTTTATTACTTGTGCTATAACATATGGTTAACAAATTAATTGTAACTAATTTGTTTGATGTTTTATTTTGACAGAGAATTGTGTGGTTCTCCAAAGAGCAAGACAGTTCCATGTGCTTCGATAAGGGCAAGTCCGTGGTAAGTACAATACTGATTTTATGATTTATATATTTTTAAAGTTGTATGTTAGCTTTTGTTTAAGCAAGTTCTTTAAGTACAGTACATGTAAAGTCTTTAATTTTAGTTTGAGTTAATATTTTAAAGATTTACATACTTAATTGAAGCTATTTTGATAATGTCGCTCATTTTCTAAATTAATCCATTAGTTAAAATTTTAATTCGTGCTTTTAAGCATCGTTAATGCCTGTCTAAAAATGTAAAATAAATATTAGAAATAATTTCATGCCTTCTGTTGCATTAATTAAGCAGATGTATAAGCATTTTCTTTTAAGTTTTGACCTTTCATTTTTGTCTTTATTTGATACTATCTACAAATTGCCCCCTCCCCCCAATGGAAAACAGTGAAATATAGTTACACATTTAACACGCAAGGGGGCATTCAGTATTGTAATGAAATTGTAGTTTATATATTACACATTTTTTTTTATTTTTTTTACAATATCACTTGACTGGTTCGAGAGTCAGTTGGCAGGCTTGTCTAGGCTGGCAGGGTTCTGACCTGATGGTAGAGGCAGGCAGGGAATGGCTAATGACTAAACTAGACTTATCGAGCGTCACTCTTAAGCTTGATTCCAGCACGGCCCTAAATCACCCGATAATTACCTCGTTATGGAGCAGTGTCAACCTGTGAACTCGCTATCAGAGCAGACTGGTAATGGTGGAAGGGTTGAAGAAGGGAGGAGAGAAAAGGTTGGAATGGATGAGAGAATTTGGGCGAGAAGGATGAACGAGGGTCAAAGGAAAAGTGAAGTCAGAGGAAAGGTTAGAATGCTAAGAGGAAAGAGAGGCTTGTGTAAGTTTACAAGACATAGATAAGTCAACTCGAGATATTTTGCCTTCATTAGAATTTGCTGCGGCATAGCTTATAACTTGACGTTCTTTAATTTAGTTGGGTTTGTCTTCCACTGATGGGGTGTTACTGAGTTCTCAGTCTGGTATTTTACAATTTGTGAAACTGTACACGCAGGCAATGTGTACCCCAATGCATAATGCATGGAGTGAGAAGTTTTGAGTCAGGTGTGCACGCGCATCTTGACCATCCAGTATACCCTCAACCACACTGGGTTAGGTTAGGCAAGATTCGTCAGGAAAAGGGGTAATTGCTTTCTGATGCAAATCTGTCATATGATCCGCCACTGGGGCTTTTGGCCATTTGACAGAGGCCTTCAGTTGGCTTACCGATCCACCTCTTTAAAAATTAAGATTAATAATTATACTGTTCTAGAGGGTAGTAACTTTTATCTGGGAGGTCTGAAGACTTCGAACCCAAATTATTGGGCATAAGGATGTTTTTTTTTTTTAATTGGGGGGGGAATAGATTTCCTTGATTTTACAAAAACGATAAGGAAATAGCCATTGTATTTAGGAAGATGCCAGTGGACATGAAAGTAGTTTTGCTGCAATAATTGTCAAGAACGATTTTATCCAGTAACTTTTTGGAAACTGGGCAAACCCTAGTTTGCTAGGAATCTTTCTTCGTCCTGAGAGAGTATGGTAGTGAGCCTGCCATGTGAAATTTTGATGTATTGGAAGAGATTAGAATGTGTTAGGGAAACTGATTGTGCGGGGTGTGCTCTATAGTCACTGGGAAGGGGAGAGCAGCAGCGTGGAGATCACCTCACTGCTGTTCACATGTGGATGATAACTTACACGAGCGTTCTCACCTAGCTATGTTTGCAGGAGTTGATTCATAGACCCCTTTTGGTTCACCTTCTGTCGAGAAACTTACCCGATTACTAACCCCCCGGACCTGATCATACCTACTTTAGATATTGTGCATAGAATTTGCCTCCCATCTAGTTCACCCCATTTACTTAAGAGAAAAATAGTACTGTTCCTATCGCTTGTCTGCGTCTTTGGTTGTAATCTGTGTCCCCTGCAAGAGTGCTCGCGCCTGTCAGGGGATATACAGAGGCGTGTTTAGCTATACTTATCATACACGTGATTTGTGCGATAAATGCTTCAATTTATAAAATTGAGCAAAAATTATTTAATTTTCAGATTTTACTAAAAACATTAGGAAGTATAATAATGCAATCATTTAATATATTGTATGCCTAACTTTAAAATATGAAAAGACTGAAGGCCAGCAAATAAGAGTAATAAAGATTGGTAGAATACATTATTATCTAGACAATGTGTTTAACAAATGAAGACAGCTTACAGCGAATGTCAAGCAGTCAGTGTTGCCACTGACCAGAAAATTGCAGACCCTCCGTGGTATTGCCAGCATCAACCAGGGTGTGCTGGGTATGGGGCGGTGGGCCGCCAACAGCAACAATCTACCTGTTTGACAATCAGCAGAGAGGCTTGGCCTCATGCCGGGCCGCCAGAACTGAAACTCTTGTAGCAGGTCACAGGTGAATCTCAAAAGTAAACTTGAGTTTAGTTAGGATGCTGTTTGTCTTTCTGATAGTTACTTGTCGGGCAGTATCGAGCCTCGATAAAGATACTAAAATGCTAATTTAAGTTGGGTGTATGAATATAAAGCGTTAGTGGGAGCCGTGGGAGACAAGGCTCCAGGGATTAAGAGGTGAACTTGACTGGTTATATTTTCATTCCCTTTAAGAAGGGTATATACCACACTGATGTTTTCAGGGGTCATCGTCCCCGCGACCCGCTGCCAGACCAGGCCTCCTAGTGCATCATAATATGATTAACCAGGTTCTTACTGCTGGCCGCACGCAGTCCGACGTACGAACCACAGCCCGGTGGATCAAACTGATTTGGGAACTTTTGCCATGTTTAACTTGAATACATAAGGCATTGATCATCTCAAAGTTTTCCGGAATAAGATTCAAATGTGACGCGAGATAATGGGATGACACACACTAAACATTTTTTGAGGCGTTTGAATATTAAAATAAATTAATTTCACGCTGCATTGCTTTTGTTGCACATTTGGTGAGCCATTGACAGAAGAATCAACAGCCAATGTCCCAGTAAGGTCATATGTGCAGCAGACTTCAATGACCTGCCTTTCACTTTTGCTTATGGGGTGAGGGCTCTTCAAGATCTTGTCAAACACACCTTTAAAATTCGAGACGTGCATTACCACGAACACAGGAGCAACAGTTGTCTGTGTGAATATTGATCGTAGTCTCCATGAGAGTATTGTGCAATCATCACTATATGCGCTGCGAACTCTCCGTATTCGAAGTAAAAAAATATTTCTAGTTTACAGTTAGATATTAACACGTGTGAATGTAACGCTGCAGCAGTATAATATGGCCGACAATATGCTGTGTCCAGATACTCTGATAAAAAAAATAAACAAGTTCACATAACTGATCTTGAAAAGCATTGATGACTTGCATTGTATTTAATAATGGCAAAAAAAAAAAAGAGAAATGCAAAAATAGTTTGCACATCAGCTTTTGGATAACATGAGGATACTGTACACAAACACATTAACGTGACAGTAACAAATCTCTCCTTGATAGGTATAAATTCAGGGAATTAGGCTATGATAATAAGGCAATCTGTATTTTAACAGAGCCTTTCCAATGATATATATATTTTATAATATATATATGTATATATATATATATATTATATTTATATATATTTATATAGTATCGTTGGGTGTTGTTATTGGAGTTAGATCGTTGTGTGATTGAGGGATTTACCTTGCTGGGATAGCTGAACCATTCTCTTGTTTGTTCATCTCTGGCGTAATTTTCTTTGGCGTTATTGGATTTAACTTTAACAAGATTTTAGTGCTTGTATTCTATTTTTGACCTAGTGTGTTTTATTTTTTGAGGGTTGGGATTCACGTTGCACCATATTGTTGTGGAAGCTTTTGTAAGGTAATGTAGATTTTAAATAGGGCTTTTGTTAATTTTATGTTCATAAATAAAGCCCACAACATAGTAACTATACCAAAAAATTATTTCATTACTGTCATCCACTTTTACATCGCTTGTAAGTTCACTTATTCACACGCTAGGATATATAGTATCGCTAAAAATTATGCTGTAACAGAAACCAAATTAAAACTTTCCATGTGCTACTTTTCTCTTTTAAGGACCAAGATGTTTTACTTAATTATAATTGTAATACTTTTTTTTTACATATTGCAGTTTGCATCAGTAGGAATGCTCTCGGTCTATGATCAAAGATTTTTCTCCTCTGTATTATATTTTGTAGAATATGAGGAATTTTAAGTCTTGGATGATACTCGACTTTTTTCATTCAAAATTCGGTGAGCCTTTTCATACACACCAGGTGAAATTGAGTAATTTATATCCTTTTGTCGCTTTACATTTTTCCCTCTTTTTCTCAGTAGCGTTTGTTCATAGCCGCTAGCAAGTGGAAAATTGCGGCTTCAAAATGTGCTATTCATTAAGGAATTTTGTGGAGGTCTGGAGATAGGAAAAAAAAAGCGGTTTGGCTTTTGTTGAGCAGCGATGCTGACACAGAATGACTGTGAAAGTAGTGAGTTTTTTCATCACTTCAGTGATTAGGGATGATAAGTTTGTGTAGATGCTTTATGTATTCTGTCTTGTATGTATATAAAAAGTGGAGCCTCCAGTAAATTTGGAAACGAGTACGCTTTCCAGTGCTCGTCCTGTGAGCCTTTCCACCCCATCAAAAAAAAAAAGATCAGCCGGGAATTACGACGCAGCATAATATATAGTAAATAAATATGTCGAGAATAAATCATCGTGACCCGTCCGTTAGTATGAGACGAGGGCAGATTTGTATGACATGTTTATATACTTTTAGTTAACCCCTTCCAAAATAAAATAAAAACTTGCATAATAAATTAGTCTTGGTCAGGGGTTAACAAAACACGGCTCTGAGGCCATTCCTGTCCCGCTAAAGAATTATATTCGACCCGTTACTATCTAGTAATTAGTGTCTCCTAATTAAGAAATAATTAATTTTGATTTTGTCCTAATTGGGAGCGGGTGTTGGTTAGTCATATCTTCAAGACCTGGCAGCGCTTAATGCACCTAATAACCTTTGGAATTAATCCCAGGGCGATTGTATGCTAGTGCCATTTGTGCTTTAGCGTTAGTACCATCAAGTGCCCGCCTGGTAGCCCAAGACATGTAAATTGTCTTTGGTTTTGCATATCTCTGCCCGGGAGGGTAGGGATCATATAACCGATTCTAACCTACTGTCTCCCACATGGGTAACTGTACCTATTGTCTGTTAGGCAGTATCAAAAGGCCAAGCGAACGTCTTAAAGCAGATTTCTGGAAGCAGGGCTCATACGGCAGAAATGTACAAGCCCCTAGACGGCAACACCTACTGTTTCCCTGGGTCAAGGGTCACTTCACCATATATATAGACAAACCCGAGACGAAAACTACGGCGCTGTATAACCCCTGTGTGTTTCCCGCTTCCCCCTAACAAGTTTTTCATCGATAAGTATGGCCCACGTAGCATACCCAAGCAGGATAAGCTGGTGATGTGGCCTGCTAGTCAAATAATTTTCTAATCCCCCCCCCCTGGTCTAAACGCGTCCCAGTCTCCCAACCCCAGCAACAACAATAACATAATACCCCACAACTCTAGTTTATCTGTGATTAAAACCAGGTTTAAACACAGTCATCTAGTATAAAGGTTCTTGCAAACTAGGACACAAATAAAACATCACATTAATTAGATTACTGTGCATGTTGATATCGGACACTTCGGGAACTAATCAGATTTTCAGAAAGAACAGTTTCTCTTGTATAATGATGAATTATTTTTCCATCGTAAATCAGCTATATGACATCAGTTTAGGTTACACATACTGATTAACACCGATACGTATGTAACATACAAATGCGGTATTAGGGCAATTGTTAGAGACATTTCTCCCGTCAGGGGGGAGCCCTTCATCAACTCAATGATTGAAAGGAGAATCCCAGGCGAGTGATAGGTCTATTTAATAAGTGTCATAATACATTATTTGTCGTACTATTACCTCGGCATAGACTGTATTATCCTAATCTTGCTCCGACCGGCACCCATTATCTTTATAGTGGAGACTGCAGGAGCTCTCCTACTTGGTGAGAAATAATGATTTACTGCAGGAGGCGTCTCTACCTCATTACCATATAATGAGTTAGCTCTTCTTGGATCTTGCCGCCTGCACCACACCATCCACATAAACACACTCGCCATATTTTTTTTTCCTAAATATTTAAAGTTTCGGCTGTTCAATTTAGGTTTTTTAACGAAATTTGATACATTTATAATTTGCAGCTAGCCTATTCTTTATGAAAGTTACATCGTGAAAACAAAAACTAGTTACATTTCGCTGTTATATTTCATCTCGCAGGGTAGATTCATACAGTAAGTAATGAGTTTTTTTTTTTTTAATCGAGCTGTAAGATTACAGTAGGGCAATGAGGATATAGTTAAACATTCTACAGAGTTCAGTATTGCGTACTAAGTTTAGGGAAGAGGCAGGTAGGTAGATGAAGCAATTTTGTAGTGATGGTACTGTGTTGCCATTATGGGAGGAGACTTGTTTTGGATGTTAATACAAAAAATGACATTGAGCTACTGTGGAATTTTTTTTTTTTTTGAGGTATTGGCTTCAAAGAATGAGGATGATTTGGCAACCTGCCAGAAGCTGGCCGTTGATTGTTATGCTATTATATGTCTGATATGGCAGAAGTTGGCCATTGACATGCTATTATGTCTTTGATATGGCAGAAGCTGGCCATTGATTGATATGTTAGTGTAATACTATGACTAAAATTGTTTTTAAACCCCCCAGGACGAATGTCAGAATTATATCAGAGTTCTGGCCAAGGAGGGTGAGGGACGGTTCCTGGTGTGTGGTACCAACGCCTACAAGCCACTCTGCCGCAGATACGCTCAACAGGTAAGGAAAATTCTGGTAATTAAAACGTAAGGTAATAATTTTTAAGGTTAATATTTCAACAGCGTTGTTGCGGCCCCTGCCAAACTAGCGGTTAAATAGTTAACCTGCCGGCCGGCAGTACCACTGGGTGCGTCATCAAACCCAATGTGGGGGCTGCTGAGCCGGCCTTAGAGCAGTAAGAGCCTGAGTGCCTCACGGTACACACCTAAGCAGTAGGTACCTGACCACCGAAGGGTACACGTCTACTGGCTTTAGTAACAGTATGTACCAGAGCGCCTCGCTGTACACACCTAAGCAGTAGGTACCTGACCACCGAAGGGTACACGTCTACTGGCTTTAGTAACAGTATGTACCAGAGCGCCTCGCTGTACACACCTAAGCAGTAGGTACCTGACCACCGAAGGGTACACGTCTACTGGCTTTAGTAACAGTATGTACCAGAGCGCCTCGCTGTACACACCTAAGCAGTAGGTACCTGACCACCGAAGGGTACACGTCTACTGGCTTTAGTAACAGTATGTACCAGAGCGCCTCGCTGTACACACCTAAGCAGTAGGTACCTGACCACCGAAGGGTACACGTCTACTGGCTTTAGAAATATTATGTACCTGAGCGCCTCGCTGTACACACCTAAGCAGTAGGTACCTGACCACCGAAGGGTACACGTCTACTGGCTTCAACATTAAGTACCTGAACTCCTCAGGGTACACGTCTATGCAGTAGGTACCTGACCACCGAATCGTACCTATCTACTGGCGTTAGAAGAACCGCTCACCGCAGCTCACCGAGTCTGTTGGCCTCAGTTACTTGACGGCCGCATTCAGTGAGCTTGCAGCATGGTGTTCGGCTAGCGGTGTGTCAACCGCCTTTGGAGAGGATTTACTGGACTACCGGTGATGTCTGTGGACTCACCGTCTATGTTGATCAACTGTGGGCCGGAGTCGTCAGATGCTGTTTAGTGGGACATTACATGAAGAAAAGGTTGGAGTGTTACACTGAACTGGGCCAGGACCGTAGTGTGACACTGAGGGACGTACGATGGAGTGGAACACTGAGATATGCACAGGACCGTAGTGGAACACTGAGATGAAAAGGGTGTCGTGGGACACTGAAGATGGCCTGGTTGTAGTGTACACTGAACAGTGTCGTGTGACTGACTTCGTGTCGTGAGAGGCAGTTGATTGTAATTTATTATTATAAAAATGTTATTTATAATTTATTGTTTTAGCATAGAGATATATATATATAGTGACAGTAGTGTCAAGAGTTGTACCCTGTGTAGGGTTATTAATTATATTTTAGTAAAATGCTGATTATAATTTATTATAGTAACATGTACATATTATTATTATATCATAGTTCAAATACCTCTAGACCAAAGATAGTTGATTTTTATATATTAAAGATTAATTTATATTAATGTACCCCTCAAGGAAGGTTCCTTGATGTTGGTGAGGGGCTCTTGATTTAGAGAATTGGATCTGTGCTCCAGTTCCCCGAATTAAGCCTGAATGCCTTCCACATCCCCCCCCCCCAGGCGCTGTATAATCCTCCGGGTTTAGCGCTTCCCCCTTGATTATAATAATAATATATTAATGTGTATTTATGTATCCCGAACTCTTTATTACAAAAGAAGTAAATCTTAACATCTCTCATCTTCTTTTAAAAATTACTTTTTTGTAATAAGCGTGTAAAAATTCAACGTAGCTAATTGGCTACATTATTGAAAAACAAAATATCCGAAAACTGAAGAATGGTAGATAGTGTATTTTTACTACGCAAGTTATTTTGATATATTAATCAAGTCAGACTTCTTAAAATTTCACGAAATACTATTTTTTAAGCAGGTTGTTCGGAAAGTTTATTCGGAAATCTAACCCTTAGACTTGAGTGTCGTTTATCACTTAATCTTGTACATAGTTTGTGATAGACTGAAAACTCGCAGGAAACCACTGTTTTTTCAGGGATATTTCATTCATTTTTGTCACGTGTACCCAACCTGTTCTAATAAAATATCTAAAAATTATTGAAAAGAGAATATGTCTAGTAACGTTGGTTTTTCGATATATTGATCTTGGGCATTTTATCAGATTATTTAAACTTAGGCAAAGTTTATAAACACATTTCATAGGAAGGGTTACGCGTATCGACAGAATTGTTAAAAAAAAAAAGCTGGATATCGTATTTTCTCTGAAATTTTTTAACTGGTGGATTTATCATTACACCGGCTGTAGCGAGCATGATCCGATTTTACTAGCATTTTTATATTAGGGTCATGATTGAATGAATGCTCGCATACGTGAGTTTGATCACAATGATACTCGGAGTGGCCGGTCGATGAGTGATTTTCCCATAAGGTATTATTAACTTTAATAGTGGGATCCAGGTCACATGATTTGGAGTGGTATTAAATTTTCGTAAACATAATAGGTTTCCAAGTAGACTGAAGGGGTTGAATTACGAGAGGGGGCGAGGGGTAACAAACTTTAATAATGGCATAGGACACAGGGGAGATGTGATTTTAGCGTACAAGACTTTTAGATTCAGTATGGTATACGTTAGAAATAAGAGGCTTATGGGTCTCTCGGCTAGTGGGAAGTATTTTCACAGTCTCGGGATGGTAAAGAAGTGGGCTTAGATGGGCTAGGAAGTGGAGACAAAATGCTTGTACATGTTCAAGAGCAAGTGTGATAGTGCCAGAGACGAGAAATCGATAGTGTCGACCAGTTGAAGCTTGAAGAGGCGATCCAGGAGCAGACAAGACCAACTTGGCACAGTGCAAAATGCCCCCAATAGAAAGTAGGGGCGCCATTGGTACACTAAGGGAAAACACCATAAGTGTCCGGGGCCCAAAACTGTTCAACAGCCTCCCATCAAGCATTAGGGGAATTGCCAATAAACCCCTGGCTGCCTTCAAGAGAGAGCTGGACAGATACCTAAAGTCAGTGCCGGATCAGCCGGGCTGTGGCTCGTACGTTGGACTGCGTGCGGCTAGCAGTAACAGCCTAGTTGATCAGGCCCTGATCCATCGGGAGGCCTGGTCATGGACCGGGCCGCGGGGGCGTTGATCCCCGGAATAACCTCCAGGTAACCATCTTTATAAAGAATGAAAAAAGGCACAATATAGTGACTGGAACAGTACACAAATAACCCGCACATAAAAATTTATGACGACTTTTCTTTAACTATTAATCAGTAAACACACACACACACACACCCCACACACCACACACCACACACACACACCACACACACACACACACCACACCACACACAACACACACACACACACACACACACACACACACACACACACACTCACTCACTCGAAATATTAATCCTAATACTTTTACCATTCCATTAGATGTCACTGATTTGTCTGGCTTGAAAATGGCATCATGTGGCGCAGTGTGCTAATGAGAATTAATAGTGTTTTCCTAATTTATAAGTACACTGAAACGCTTGTTAAGGCACATTCTGCACCCACTGTACGTTTAATGTGTATACACCCGTATGTAAATCTCCCTGTGACACTTTTATTGTGACACCTTTCATGGGTGGCAGAAGGGTTCCCTATCAACCACGTTGTGGTGGATATGCGGGCCAGCGGTCCACCAACTGCAATAACCTGGTTGACCAGGTAAGTACCAGACAAGCCTGGTCCAGGCCAGGCTTCGAGAGTAGAAAAAACTAGCGAAACTCATCAGAGGTATACCCGGAGTCTACCTGAAGGGTATTCTGGGGATCAACGCCCCCGCGGCCCGGTCTATGACCAGGTCTCCCGGTGGATCAGAACCTGATTAATTAGGCTGTTACTGCTTGCCGTACGTAGTCCAGCATACGAATCACAGCCCGGCTGATGCGGCACCGACTCCAGGTTTCTGTCCAGTTCCCTCTTCAAGGGTTTCGATATTTTTCTATTCTGGCAACTCGGCCGTGGGCCAGGCTTATCTGGTACAAGTCATTCAGGGTGGCAGTGACGTCACGGGCAAGGAAAATAAACATGAAAAAACTACAAGAGCTTGGGTAAGAAAACCCATGAGTTTGTTGTAATGTGTAAAGTAAGGCATACATAAAATTAAATATAATTATAAATACGAAATGGAAAATTATTAAAGGTGTCGGATAAGGAAAACTTTCTTGGTCATAAATTACCCTAGGGGGTGGGGGCCGACATGCACCTGGAGTTGGGTCACCACCAGAAAAGATGGTGGCATTGAAGAGGGAGATGTCCATTTGGGGAAGACAAAGACGTAACCAAGTGGCTTGTTGAAGGAGAGCTTTGGCACCTTTTCTAGACCATTTTGGCAGCGACCACCGTTCGTACTCGACTTGTGTAGCCTCACCCTCCAGCGACTCCTGCAACAGTAGCCAGACCTGCCTGGAGAATGGATGTTATGTTTAAAGTCAATCGACTGTACTTGGGAAGTTGGATGTTCTAGTTCTGAGCAAAGAGCTGTGCAAAAGGCTTAGGCATCCATCAAGCGTGTTATATAGGAGTGAATGGAGGCGAGTGATGGGGTTTCCTCGTTTTCGGGTCACCCTGCCTCTGTGGGAAACGTCTGTTAAAAAAAATCTATCAAACCACGTTTGGGTTTCTCCAACTTAACACTATTTTCATGTTTGGGAAACGGCAGCCTCTGTATCGACTACATGCGTCATACCCATGGATACCTGGTGGAAAAAACGACCAGCACCACTTTGCGATGATTGCCAGGTTGCAATGTCAGTTAACTGTATCTTAATAAATTGTCCTGTCTGTCAACGGGCATGCAGAATTCACTCCGACGTCACCGTCCCAATACATTTACTCTGACCTCTCCGAAACTTTCACCTTTGATGCCGACTCTTGACTTTTTAACAAACTAACTTATTTCACTAACTGTGATTTTTAATTTTGTCTTGCACTCTCCCTGCCCCTTTTAACCCCTCCACTCTCATACTCCTGCACTACTCTTCTTAGTACATTCCTACCTGCAGCGTTGTATGACTCAGATTTAGCGCTTCATTTGACCATTTAATTTCACTGATGTCATTATTTTACTTGTTATCCGGATGATCAACCATATTGGTTACATAAAATATGTGAACAAAACCACATGTACAGATTTGATGGAAGAACTTGAAGCCGACACGCCTGCCCAAGGGCTAGGCCTCAGTAGTAGGAAAACTCTTGAAACCCATCATAAGTATATAATTCCTGAGGGTTCAGTGTTGCCTAACGAATGTAATAATCTGAAACAACATTATGGGTGCTATGTGCTGGGTACAGTATTTTGTTAACCAATACGTGGATGGTGATTATGCTAATAAGATACATTACTAAGTTGTAACAAGTCGTTATCCTCGGTAAACTTGCATTCACTTAACGTACTAATGGCCAAAGCCTTTCGGTGAGGAAATATTTGCACTAAAGCTTTAATGCTAAGAAGGATTTCATTGCACAGTTACGTATTACAAGATTGATGATACGGATATTGTTCATGCATTGGCGAGCATGTGTACCCCTCAAGGGAGGTTCCTTGATGCTGGTGAAGGGTTCTTGATATAGGGAATTGGATCTGTGCTCCAGTTCCCTGAATTGAGCCTGAATACCTTCCATTCCCCTCCTCCCCCGTCCACGGGCGCTGTATAATCCCTACACGTTTAGCGTTCCCCCATAATAATAATGTTAGTCACCTCTTGTACAAAACAATCATGATGGTGCAAGTCTCGGGGGTTTGGTTTTTTCAATAAAAAACTAAGCCTGTTTTTACATTGTTTCTAATTAATACACCAATAATTTAACATTTGGCTGAAAGGTTCGCTTCTTATGGCCAGAGCTTTGGTAAGATGGGTAAGGAAGAAGGATGGGTAAGGATAGAAATATTGGAAAAGGGTGGGAGGGGGGTGAGAGGTAGGATATAAAGGCAAGTGGCCCAACCACTTTGGTGTAATTTAAAAGTGTACGTGAAATGATAAGATATTATTTAAGGGGTATAAGACTAACCCATCAGAGTCACATAGATATAACAGCTGAAAGGTATCTTACACAAGTTACAATTGGACCAATTGTCATAGAAACGGAAGTAATACACAAGTGTATTTACTTATACAGCACATTTTATATTTTACTTAATACAGTGGAGCTCCGGTTATCGTAATTAATCCTTTCCAGAGAGTGTGATTAAAGTCCAATTGACGATAACCAAATAAATTTTCCTCACAAGAAATAATGTATATTCTATTAATCCGTTCCAGACACCCAAAAGTATTAAAAAAAAAAGTTTTTTTTTTACATGAAATATACTTTTACCTACACAGAAAACAGACACATGAATAAATAACACTTACCTTTATTGAAGATTCTTCTTAGTGTATGGAAGACGGGAGGAGGGGAGAGGATGTAGGAGTTACTATTGTTTGGAAGGGAAATCCCCTTCCATAAAGACTTCATGTGCCAAGTCCTTTTCCGGGGTTACTTCCCTTTATTTTTTAATGCCACTAGGACCAGCTTGAGTCACTGCACATCTGTGACACTAAATATCTGTCCAGAGAGCTCTGTTTCTGGCATCTCTTTAAAATTTCCCTAAAATGGGACAAGACATTGTCAGTGTACATGTTGCTGACACGGCTTGCTACAGCTTTGTTAGGGTGATGATCCTCCACAAATCTTTCCATCCTACTCCACATTGCACAAATCTCCATTACTACCACCCTCACTACCACCCTCTGCCACCATCACAACCACTACCACCCTTGACCACTGAAACTACCACCACCACTTTTGTACTTTTCTACTATCTTTTTCTTTAATTCTATCATGTTGTCACCTTTACCAAAGGGCTGGCACTAGCTTTCTTTGGGCCCATGGTGGCTTATTTAGCAGTTACAAGCACTAAAATGAATGGAATTTTATGAAATGTATGAACGCGTGGGATCTTGCTCACTCGCTGATAAACAGTGGCACACTGACTGTGGCTGCGTCAGGGCTACTCATACGTGTTTGGGATGAACGACTATTACTGAGGTAAATGACGATCACCAAGCCAATATTTTGACGAAAAAACATTGATTACCAAATATTACGAAATCTGACGACTACGACATTCGGGGATCCACTGTAGTAGGTTAGGTTAGGCAGAGCATCTAACTTTTGTTAACATAACCACTGCACTACAAGGTACATTATTATTTCTTTTAATGATTGATTCAATTAATCTAGTGTAAAAGAAATGGATTTATTGTGCAAATGAGAACTTTTTAATAATTTTGCTATTTTTTTTTCCACTAGCCAGTACTGTATTGTGGTTTATGACTCACGAAATCGTAATGACACGATTGCAAGCAAATCATACCACGGTCAAGGATAGAACCTGCAATCAGAAAGTTGTAAAAATCCAGACCGATGCGCTAGCCACTGGGCCAGTGGCTAGCACACTCAATAAACAAGCACAAGAAACAATGGATTATTACGAAATGTTTCAAACGAACGTGTAGTGTAATGCTCACTCCATGAGAAACAAAGCCAGACTGAGTTAGAACGTGTGGGATGCTTTGTGTGGCCTGAGGCCGCACAAAGCATCCCACGTACGCAGACCATTTTGTCATCTCTACGAAAATCGAGTTGATGTCCGAAAACTGGGACAAAATTTCACCGAAAGAAGCTGTCGAAAACTGAATCCTATGAAAACCAGGGTATATGAAAACTGAGGTTCCACTGTAACAGCATTCTAACTATGGCTGAAATATCAGTATAGTATCCAGCATTCAGAGTTTATTATACTAGACAGTGAAATAAATTTTATCTTTGTAACCATGTATTTTTCCCAAATATTCATAGGCATTTATAAAAAAAATCTGTACTCTTGTGCACAATAATAATGCATAATAATAATACACTATTAAATCTTTATTTCTACAAGTACATAATACAACTTATACAAGCCTAGCATAGTAATGTGTGGATGTGGTGTGTCTACTGGATCAAACTTATTTTACCTCATTTTTCCTGGCAGACTGATGGCAGCTTCAACTTCACGGAGACCAATGGTGCTGGCCAGTGTCCCTATGACCCAAGACATAATTCTACTTTCGTTTATGTTGGTTAGTGCCATGAACCATGTAATTTTAGTATAGTGACCAGTACAATATAGTATATAAAATGGAAATGATAGGAATGGGTATACTTCATATATCTTCCTAGAATTATAAGAAGCCATTTGATACCTTATACACTAAGCTGATCTACAAATTGGAAGAGCAGGTGAATAACAGTGGATATGAGAATACCCAAGAAACATAAATCAGATGGTAAAAGAGCAAGTTTGGGCACAAGGTAATAAGCAGAGTAGCCTAAGGTTTAGACTTGGTCCCATTTTATTCTTTGTACAGTATGGTATAGGAAGGCCCTGCTTATGCAGCAGGTTGGATTCCAGGCTACTGTTGTAAAGCAGAAATTGCTGTAAAGTGAATCATAGCCTTTTTTCACTTTCAACTATTAAGTAAGCAGTATATTAAGAGCCATATAGCTAAACCTAAAAAGTTCATATACAATACATGCATTACTTTAAAATATTTTCATCTTTAGCTTGTAGTAAGTGGTGAATATATTTATTGTAGAACTCTGAATAAAAGAAGAATGGCTATAATTGAAAACTGCTGTGTATTAGTGAAATGCTGTAAAGCGAGGAATCCCTGTATATCTAAATGACCAGCTAGTAGAAATATGTATCACAATTTGCTAATGATGGATGACTATTGAAGGATAACAGCCAATGAGGACAGACAAGAGAAGCCAGGAAAAATTTCAGACTGCATATGTAATCATACATGTATAATGATTTGCAGTCTTTTAGTACAAAAAGACATTAAAGTTGTATTATGATACATGTACGTATTTAGAATACAGTTTCATAAGGGCTTTTGGTTTGTTTAGTAAGTCCAATAAATGTTTTATGATCTAATAAATCTTTATGTATGCATTTCTATTATATTAACCCTTTGATATAATGAACCTCTGTATAATTGACTTTGGAATTACAGAACAAAATCCTCTACATTGGTCAATTCAAAAATGGACAAAGTTCATTAGTTACAAAATTGTCTTTTGTAGTTATTATCACAGCTAGACAGTGGCAAAAGCTAACAAGTTTGAATAAAGACATTGGTAGCAGAGGATTCTTGTAATACAATGTTTTGTCTAATGCTGGGCCTTATGAAGTATACAGGAATAAGTAGTCCATCGCAACCTTCATTCTTGCATCATGGTCTGGGAAAATACCACAACTGTTACACCACGAGAATGACAGGGCCAGACACAATTTTAGAAGCAGCAGTGATCTACTTCACCAGGATCATTGAGCAAAACATGTTGGCTGGATATATTGCTTACATAGTCAATGATTTATATAATGATCATAATAAATTTGTCATTTTCCCTCACACTCCCTGCTCCTTCTGATACCTGACCTCACCAGACTTTGATTTCACAAATTATAACCTCGTATGACCTATTCTCATGATCTTGTGTGATGTGTCATTTCTTAGCCTGACCCCATGATATTTGTTTGACCTATGGGATAGTGTATTTGCTCATTCCTGTGTACGTAGTATTAAAAGGAAACACAAATAACCCGCACATAAAAGACAGAAGCTACGACGACGTTTCGGTCCGACTTGGACCATTGACAAAGTCACACTAACAGAGGAGGAGCAGAACGGCTATATATAGGCAGGAAGAGGTAGAGGTAGTAGTAGTGGTAGTAGTAGTAGTAGTAGTAGTAGTACATGAATTGTATATAATACCGACAGGATGAAATGACACATGCACAACACCCGGGCATCCCCACCGTAGACGTTTCGCCATCCAGCCAGCCACTGGATGGCGAAACGTCCACAACAAAGACAACCAGACGCCGCACATGTGTCTAAATTAGACACATGTGCGGCGTCTGGTTGTCTTTGTTGTGGACGTTTCGCCATCCAGTGGCTGGCTGGATGGCGAAACGTCTACGGTGGGGATGCCCGGGTGTTGTGCATGTGTCATTTCATCCTGTCGGTATTATATACAATTCATGTACTACTACTACTACTACTACTACCACTACTACTACCTCTACCTCTTCCTGCCTATATATAGCCGTTCTGCTCCTCCTCTGTTAGTGTGACTTTGTCAATGGTCCAAGTCGGACCGAAACGTCGTCGTAGCTTCTGTCTTTTATGTGCGGGTTATTTGTGTATCGTTCCAGTCACGGTATTGTGCCTTTTTGTTATTTATTAAAAGGAAAGTCTGCTGTCAATGTCGTCATTCCCAAAACACCACCTGTAGTTATGATAATGACATTATTATAGCTAGAGCTGAACCTCATTGTAACCCCTGACTTTCTCCTTACTTTTGTTATTGCCTTCATGAAATTTTATGAAGTGCTGTATTTAATGAAAGTGTTATTCATTTGATTAGCATTTACATAATACATTCAGTATACACTTCAGTATTTTGTGAAACATGAATAACAGTACAAGATAACATAATAGAAGTTAAGAGAACTTGGCCTTTTTACAGATGGTGAACTTTACTCTGGGACAGTGGCAGACTTTCAAGGAACGATCCCTCTCATCTTCAGACACCCTCTTAAGACGGATCACAATGATTACAAACAGTTAAATGGTAACCTTGTGTGAATTTTTTTTATATGAACACAGTATTTTGACTTTATTGTCATATAATACTGAGTAAATGTTTTGATAGCATTTCTGCTGTTTAGGGTTGTGAAATGTTTAATGTGGAAAAGAATAAAATATTGGAAAGATATTTCTTTTGTCAGTCATTTAAATTTGAAATACACAGTAATGCTTTAATTTCTTGCTGTGAATACATACTAGGATAGGAGAAAATTATTTTGGGTAACATTTTGCTAAAAATATTCAAACTTATCCCAGTTTGTGTTAATTTTTATTAATATTGTTTTTTAATCATTATTTTCTTCCAGCACCAGATTTTGTGCACTCCTTTGATTATGGAGACTTTGTCTTCTTCTTCTTCCGGGAGACTGCAGTTGAATACATGAACTGTGGTAAACGTGTTTACTCTAGAGTTGCTCGTGTGTGTAAAGGAGACAGAGGCGGAGGACAGCAGCGTTTTAAGCTATCTTGGACTTCTTTTCTTAAAAGCAGACTCAACTGTTCCGTCCCAGGGGACTATCCCTTCTATTTCGATGAAATTCGTGAGTTAAG